GAAGTTTTGTGTATATTGCAGATCACATTTAGCGCGCTTTAAACTTGAGATTTTGCCAACATTTTTGCGAACTTTCAAGCTTCCAACCATTTCTGGATAGAAGTTACAACGCCTGGAACAAGCGAACTACCAACGGGATTTCATGCAAGTTTTCAGCATATCAAGAAAGAAGCTTTTTGAACATTTACGGCAAATTTCAACTCTCTACATACATCTGGATGATAGTTACGAGGTCTAGAAGTGTCTTCGGCTTCTGGATAGAAGTTACATAGTCAAGAACTAGCCACAGCCCAATTCAAATAAGGAAAAACATTCAGAACATCAAGAATGAAGCTTCTTAAACATTTGTGAAAAGTTTCAACTCTCTAACTGCATCTGGATGGAAGTTACGCGGTCTGGAACAAGCAGTCAACCAATGACATTTTGTGTATTTTGCAGATCACATTTAGCACGCATTAAGCTTGAGATTTTGCCAACATTTTCGCGAACTTTCAAGCTCCCAACCATTTCTGGATAGAAGTTACAACGCCTGGAACAAGCGAATGACCAACGGGATTTTATGCAAGTTTTCAGCATATCAAGAAAGAAGCTTTTTGCACATCTATGGCAAATTTTAACTCTCTAAATACATCTGGATGAGAGTTACGAGGTCTAGAACTGTCTTCGGATTCTGGATAGAAGTTACATAGTCAGGAACAAGCCACAGACCCAACGAAAATAAGGAAACATCTTCAGAATATTAAGAATGAAGCTCCTGGAACATTTGTGGAAAGTTTCAACTGTCTAACTGCTTCTGGATGGAAGTTACGCGGCCTGGAACAAGTAACCAACCAATGACGTTTTGTGTATATTGCAGATCACATTTAGCGCAACTTTAAACTTGAAGTTTGTCCACATTTTTTCAAAACTTCAAACTTCCAACTAATTCTGGATAGAAGTTACAACGCCTGGAACAAGTGAACGACCAATGGGATTTTGGCTAAATTTTTACCAAATCCCGAAAGAAACTTTTTGACTATTTATTGAAAATTTCAATTGTCTAATAACATCTGCATGGAAGTTAGACGGTCTAGATCCAGTCAGCAACGTTTTTGCGAAATTTTAAGCTTTCAACAACTTCTGGATAGAAGTTACAACGTCTGAAACTAGTGAACGGCCCATGAGATTTTATCCAAATTTTTAGCACATCAAGAATGAAGCTTTTTGAACATGTCTCGAAAATTTCAACCGTCTATTTACATCTGGATGGAAGTTGCAAGGTCTGGAACAAGCCAAATACCAACGGAATTTTTTCCAAATTTTTACCACATCAAGAACGAGGCTTGTTAAACATTTACAGAAAATTTCAACTGTTTAATTACATTTGGATGGAAGTGACAAGGTCTGGAACAAGTAACCAACCAATGAAGTTTTGTGTATATCACATGTCACATTTAACGCGCATTCAAACTGAAGTTTGGCTTCTAACTACCTCTGGATAGATCTTACAACGCCTAGAACAAGCAAACTACTATAGCGATTTTATCCAAATTTTCAGTCCGTGAAGCACAAGACTTTTTGAACTTTTACATAGAATTTTAAATGTCTCATTTCATCTGGATAGAAGTTAGAAAATCTGGAACAAGTGACCAACCAATGAAGTTTTGTTTATCTGTCGTATTAAACGCTAAATGCACATTTTAAACTTGAAATTTGTCCACATTTTTCGAAATTTCCAACTTCCAACCAATTCTGGATAGAAGTTACAACGCCTGGAACAAGCGAACGACCAACGTGATTTTATTTAAATTTTCAGCACATCAAGCTTGAAGCTTTTGGACCATTTACCAAAATTTTCACCGCAAAATCTGCTCCTGGATAGGAGTTTTGAGGTCTGGAACAAGTGACTCACCAATGAAAATTTGATCAGAGATCCATTTATATTTATTTAGAGCGGTTCAAGGGCGAAGTGTTTCCAACCTTTCTGCAAATTTTCAAGCTTGCAACTACTTCTGGATAGAAGTTACAACGCCTGGAACACGTGAACGACCCACACGATTTGACCCAAATTTTCAGCACATGAAAAATGAAGATTTTCAAACCTTTCTGGAAAATTTCCACTCTCTAGCTACTCCTGCTGCTGGATAGAAGTTGCAAAGTTTCCAGGGCTTCGCGATCGAGCGGTCACTTGTTCCAGGCCCCACAACGCGCCTCTGGAACAAGTTAGAGCAGTGAAATTTCGTGTGGATGTTGAAAAAGCTCGAGCCTCCCAATGCGCAAAATGCGAATTGCGTCCGATCAAAAATGTGCCTTTGATTCGCTACTTGATCCCGACCTTGAAACTTCTGTGGGCAAAAGCCTGATGAGGGCCCCGATTCGAAACGTTCACTGTCCATTGAGGCAACCATGCTCGTTCAATTGCTGCAATCGATCAGACTCTCAGTCGCTTGGTTTATGGACAAATCATTGTTGAAAAATGCCTGGCAAAAATAACCGTCTGGCGGATAAATTCATTGGGAAATCCTGATGATGCCCCCAATGCGAAACTTTCCTCACCCATCGAAGCAACCAGCGCCTTTCTACTGCTGCAGCCGGTAAATACTGGAAATGTTCGGTTTTGGGCCCACCAAACTGCAGATCCCCAGAGGGTAAAAAGGCTGCGTTCCGCAACTCCACACTGTCGGCCACCCTTTGCACAAAAAACCCCCCCTGGAGCCAATGGGGCTGTACGGGGGCTCCCAGGAGCCCCAAAGTGAGGCACTGAACAGCTCAGTTGCTGGGCAACTGAGCCAAACGCCCCTTGCAGGGGCCCTAAGAGGTAAAAGCTGCGTTCCCAACTGGCCCAAACGAACGCCCCTGGCGCCGTTGTTTAGCACAGGACAGCCAAAAAATTTCACCCCTGCCTCCTGGCCCAAGGGGGCACACAGTGGGGCCCTACCAGGGCCCCCTGGGGCTGCGCCCGTTTCGAGGTTAGCACTCACCTGGGCACCCCTTTGTCGTTGGGCAGCAGCTTCATGGGGTTGAGCAGATTGGACAGGGTGGCTCTGGTCGCAGCCCTAAACACCAGCACCGTGTTGTTGCCATTGTTGTTGTCCAGCTCGGGGGGCTCCATCGCGCTGACGCTTCAAAAGGGGGGCGAAATCCGGGACTACCGCAAGTGCGACGCCTTTAAGGGGCTCGAGGGGCGCGACATGCCGATCAGGTGCACTAAACGACCTCTTCGAAGAAGATTATCACGAAAATTGTTTTCCTAATTTGAAAATTACTACTAATTGACATGACATATGCACGGGCCTAATTGACGGCCGACAGCCGTCATGCTGTCGAGTGTCATTCCGGGGCCCTAAAAGGCGTTTGCTTAACCACACCGGGTTGGCCCGCGTGACGGTATGGCCATCTCGCTCCGCCACACGCGTTGGGCCGGCTGGCGGTGTCGCCCTCTCGCTCTGTTGCACTGGGCGGCATTGAAAAGGCGATTTGAATAATTTGTTTTCGGGGTGACTCACGCCCGAAACACGGAAGAACCGATGAGGAAGAAAAAGATAAAAGCGACGGTTAAATTATGGAAATGCGAGCGATTAGTAGGCAGTGGCGAGGTCCAGCAGACAGATCGGCACCACGGGGCACCTGAAAATTAATCAATAAATAATGATTAAATACATAAAATAAATAAATGCGAATCAAATTGTCGATTCGAGGCAGGTGTTGAACCATCAAAAGTCCGCCTAATGGCTCATGCAAGTCCTCAACTCGAGTGACACATGCGGTGTTGTCGGACGGCCGCAAAAGCGCGTTTTTCCCTTAATTCGCCAATTAAAACGAAAGCAAATTAACAGCGCAGTCGATTTGCGGCAAAAAAATCAAAACTAGCCGGCAAAAACCAATTGAGTCCACGCATAAACAGCTGAAATGTTTCGGCTATTTTTAGCGCAAACATCATCATGCAGGGAACAAGCGAAACATCAAAAAGCGCCCGCCCGATTCACAATAAATCATCGTGGATTCGGGTTAAACAGGCGAATGTCGGCCAGATGGACGAGAAAACGTTTATTTTCAAATTGCAATAAATTAATTGATTGAATCAATTAGTGTGGCTCATTTGCGTAATGGGTTGGTTGAATTGGGTGCGTGACTCATCGGCGTGAAAATTTTTAAAAATTCGGCAAAAATTCGGGTTTATCTAAATTGCGCCGGCATGTCGAGAATGGCATAGAATGGGACTTCCTCTTTCCAATGAGCCCTGCGGCGGCCTTCTAGAGCGGCTGGTTTGAGAGAAATTATTTTTTTATAGTCGAGTGTCAGGATGAATAGGCCAGCTTTGCGCGAGAATTTGAAAAATTCGTAAAAATTTGGGTTTTTTGAAAATTGCCTCGCCAGTTTCAGGCTAATATTGAACAGAACCTTCTCTTTCCAATGGGTGTGGAATCAGTCTTCTGGCTCTGCCAGTTTGGGAGAAATAATTTTTTTAAGGTGGGGCGGCAGTATTGCGACGTTCAATTGCGCCACTTTTGCGTCAGATTTTGAAAAATTCGTCAAAAATTGAGTTTTCTCAAAATTGCGCCGGCTTGTCCCGACTAGCATAGAATAGGATCTTGTCTTTTCAATGAGCCTAGCGGCAGCCTTCTAGGTCTTCTAGTTTGGGAGAACTTATTTTTTTTAAGTCGAACAGGCATGAGTGTCAGGCTCAATCGGGCAACGTTTGAGACAGGTTTTGAAAAATTCGTGAAAATTCGGATTTTTTGAAAATTACGCCGGCATTTGGACGCCCGAATAGAACGAAATCTCCACCTTCGAAGAAGTCTAGAACCAACTTTCTGGATCGGCTAGTTTGAGCTCAACAATTTTTTTTAAGCCGGGCGGCAGGATTGGGAGGCTAAAACGCGCCAAATTTTGAAAAATTCGTCAAAATTCGGATTTTTTCTAAAATACTTTGCGACTTACAGCAGACCATAGAATGCAATCTTCTCTCTCAAATGGGTGTAGCGGTAGCAATCTGGCTCGTCTAGTTTAGGAAAAATTATTTTTTTAAGTCGGGCAGGCAGGATTGTCAGGCTCAATCGGGCAACGTTTGCGACGGGTTTGGAAAAATTCGTTAAAATTCGGATTTTTTCAAAATGACGACGAGATTTAGAGGCTCAAATAGAATGAAATCTTCACCTTCGAGCAAGTCTAGATCCAACTTTCTGGATCGACTAGTTTGAGCTCAATACATTTTTTTAGCCGGGCGGCATGATTGAAAGGCTAAAACGCGCCAAATTTTGAAAAATTCGTCAAAATTCTGATTTTTTCAAAAATACTTTGCAATTTATAGCAGACCATAGAATGCAATCTTCTCTCTCAAATACGTGTAGCGATAGCATTCTGTCTCGTCTCGTTTAGGACCAATTAATTTTTTATGTCGGGCAGGCAGGATTGTCAGGCTCAATCGGGCAACGTTTGCGACAGGTTTTGAAAAATTCGTGAAAATTCGGATTTTTTGAAAATTACGCCGAGATTTGGAGGCTCGAATAGAACGAAATCTTCGCTTTCGAACAAGTCTAGAACCAACTTTCTGGCTCAGGTAGTTTGAGCTAAATTTTTTTTTTTAACCGAGCGGTCGGATTGTGGGGCCAAAACGCGCCAAATTTTGAAAAATTTGTCAAAATTCAGTATTTACTAAGTTTGCTTTGAACTTTTCAGAATATTATAGAATGGAATCACCCCTTTATAATTAGATTAGAGCCAGTCTCTTAAGCCGGCGAGGTTTGGAGAAATTATTTTTTAAGCCGAGTGCCCGGTTTGTGCCATTAAAACTCCCCAACTTCTACGCTCGTTTTGGAAAAATCTGTAAAAAATCGGATTTTTTCAAAATTCTTTCGAGATTTCCCTCGAAGCGTAGAATGGAACTTTCTCTTTCCAACGACTGCAGAAGCAACTTTCTAGGTTGGCTGGATTCGGAGAAATAATTTTTTTAATTCGGGCGGACAGGATTGCGAGGCCCAATCGAGCAAGTTTTGCGCCAAATTTTGAAAAATTTGTCAAAATTCAGGTTTTTTGAAAATTGCTACGAAGTTTCCAGAATACCATAGAATGACATCTTCTCTTTCCTGGGAACATAGAGCCAGAGATGTGGAGCCGCTTTTTTGGGAGGTGAAGGCTTATGTGGAAGCTAAAACGCGCAACTTTTGGGCCCGATTGGAAAAATTCGTCAAAATTCAGGTTTTTTAAATATTTTTTTCAAATTTCCAGCATATATAGAATGGAGTTTCCGCTTGCTATCGCATACAGAAGCAGCCGTTTGGGTAGCGCAGTTTAGAAAAAATCATTTTTTTTTAACCGGGCGACAGGATTGGGAGGCTAAAACGTGGAGCAATTTCGCAAAATTTCTGAAAAATCACCAAAAATCCAATTTTTTCAAAATCGCGCCAGAATATCCAGCATGGTCTAGAATGGGGTCTTCTCTATCGAGTGAATGTAGAAGCAACCTTGTGGGTGGGCCGGTTTGGGAGAAATAATTTTTCTTAAGCCGGGCGGCAGAATTGGGAGGCCTGAACGTGCTTCTCATGCACAGAATTTTGAAAAATTCGTCAAAAATCGGATTTTTGCCCATTCACTTTGAAATTTCCAGAATAATATAGCATGGAATCGCCCCTTTTTAACCAGGTCAGAAGATGCTTTCTGCTTCAGCTACTTTTAGAGTCAGTAATTTTTTAAAACATGTTGGCCGGTTAGTGGGGCTTGAACTCGCAATTTTCGTGCCAGATTTCAAAAATTTGTCAAAAATCGAGTTTTTTCTAAATCACTTCGGGATTTCCCGAATAAAATATAGTGAAGTCTTCTCTTTCTAACGAGAGTAAAAGGAACTTTCTTGGTCGGCTGCCTGTAAAGAAATTATTTTTTTAAACCGGGCAGCTGAGTTTTCACAGTCAACCGCGCTTGATTTTGAAAAATTACGCAAAATTCGGGTTTTTCCCAAATAACTTCCGGTCGTCTAGAATAGCATGGAATGGAGTCTACTTTTTCGAAGACGCACAGAAGCAACTCTGTAAATCGGTTAGTTTAGGTGAAATTATTTTTTTTTGCCTGCGCGGGATGTTTTGCGGCTCTTGTGCGCTTCGTTTTGAAAATTTCGTCAAACACCGGATTTTCACGGATTTTTTGGGACTTTTCCAGCATGGCATAGAATGGAGTGTTCTCTTTAAAAACAGCCTAGAAGCATCCTTCTACGCTGGCTGGTGTTGGAGAAATTAATTGTTTAAGATCGGGTGACAGGATTGTTAAAAGCACCAGCGCAAAAGTCCGGGAGATTTTTAAAAAATCGTCAAAAATCCCATTTTTCGAAAATCAATTCCAAATTTCCAGAGTACCATAGAATGATATCTTCTCTTGCCAACAAGTCTAGAAGCGGCCTTCTAGGCCCAGTGATTTGGGAGAATTAATTTTTTTAAATCAAGTCGTTCACCGTGTTATAATAAACCACGTAACTTGGACTTGGGATGTTCAAAAAATCGCCAAAAATCATCTCTGAACTGGAGAAAAACCGAAATTTCTCCAAGGATAGAATGGAATAGCGTCTCTCAAACTAACCTAGAAGAAAATTTTCAGAATGTGCCATTTTCGAGTAATTGATTAATTTTGCACCAAATGAAACCAACAATTGACAATGAAAAATCCAGCCCAATTGCTAGAATAGCGGAAATTTCCTGATGATGATCGGGAATTCGAAACGTTACGAAACCATAGTCTTTAACTGTTTGTACTTCTGGAAGCTGCAAGGCTGAAACTGTGCCGGTTTTGCACCAAATAACCGAAAAATGTGGCGTTGCTTCAAGGATCGCTAGCACAAAGCCTGATGATGACATGAATTCGAAACTTTCAGCATCCATAAAGATGGCTATGCTCTTTACACTGTTGCAACTGGTAAGTTCCTCAGATGTTTGGTTTTGCGACAATTAGTCGTCAAAAGATGACCGAAAAGTGTCTTCCGACTAAAAAAATCGTTGCAAAAAGCCTGATGATGGTTTCAAGCCGAAACCTGCAGGCTCTGTAAAGGAACCAGTTGCCCCGTCCAACGCCGACTGGGATGATCGGGCCAATGTAGTGAATTTGTGGCAAATCAGTGTCAAACGTGTTGTTGCCAAACTGGCGCAGAAAAGCAGCTAACTTTGGAAATTCCTGGAACAAATCGAGATGATGGCTCAAATTCGAAACTTTCTCCACCCCAAGCGGCAACTATGCTCTTTCCATTGCCACCATCGGGAAGCATGGACTTTGTTTTGTTTAGCTGCAATTAATTATTTTCAGGGCATTTTCCAAAAATTTGCCAAAAAATAGTGCTCACTGAAAAATTGACTGGGGAAAGCCTGGTGATGGCCGCAGCTCGAAAATTTCCCCCTACAAAGAGAAGATGATTACTGACGGTTTTGACAAACTATTTGACAAGTGCGTGGTTGCCAAACCCTCAGGAAATACTTGGATAAGATGTAAAATTCCCAAAATAAAAACCTGATGATGGTCTGAATTCGAAACTTTTCCAGATATTAGAAGACGAACTTCTCCTGTCAAAACCACAACTCGGAAGCGGAAATTTGCCCAAATTTTAGTAGCAATTAAATGGAGAACGTTCAATGGCAAAAACCCCTATTGAAGCTGATCAGGTTTTGAAAATTCGCAGTAAAAACTCTGATGATGGCCTGGATTCGAAACTTTCCACGTCA